AGCTTGTGCGACTGTTCATAGAAAGGTTAAAAAACAGGACTAGGGGGAGAGGNATGAATTACGTCATAGTTTGAGAAGTCTGTGGCAATTCACGATTTGAACCTTTCTCCTAACAGTCGCACAAGCTTTAATCACTGATTTGCATTCACATGTGAACTTTGTTCATGAGATTTCCATAAGATAATATATTGTTAGAAGCCTCCCGTCTAACAAATTTGTAAAAAATAAATTTTTTAAACATTCGTTGACCTCAGAATATACCGATAGTTTTTGTTCTGATTGCCTACAGCGGTGTGACCAAAGGTTGTGCGTCGAGGCTAAAGGACTGCGGGTCGTGGCTAAAGTAATGTGGGTTTTGGCTAAAGGAATGTAGGTCAAGGCTAAAGGAATGTGGGTTTTGGCTAAAGGATTGTGGGTTTTGGCTAAAGGATTGCGGGTCGAGGCTTAAGGATTGCGGGTTTTGGCTAAAGCTTGATGGGAAAAGGTGTAGAGCAATATCATTCAACAATGATCTTATATGAAGTTGTTGTATGGGATTCTGTGTGGCCCACTTCGTCGCTGGTGGTACTTTTGCACTCGGCCCGACAGAAATTTTTAATATCGCACACTGATAGCTGTGATTTGTAATTGAATTCTGTCAAATCTTATTCTCAGAATGATTAAAGCAGCATCGGACTGACGAGCATCCGTGCGCTTGCACCATTCTAACGTAACAGGTTTGACACATACGTTATGCCTAGGGTTCGAAACAAGTTGAATGATAAAGTTGCGCTGTGCTAGGAAGATTTTTCAATATCTTTTCCCAAGTAACCGCTGCTTATGGAATATGTATGTCATAGATCTTTCACAAACCGATCAATTTCAGGGTTAATTTGGTAACACCCTTGATAAAGAATAAAATACCAGGAGCAAACGTGATAATAAATATATCACAATGGGTCCCGTCGATGTACACCTTCCATTTGCTGTTTTTGGACCAACCCTATCAGATGGTCTTTGCCGAAGAAGCCCCACTCACTGCCTTCCCGTATCAGTGTTTTCCCACCTGAGTGAGAGGACGAAAAGCCAACAAACGGGGCTAAAACCGAGTTGGTGAACCATCGGGGATTATCTGGCAGGATAATTTGCTCAATTACAGCTTTCATAAACAGAGCGAGAGAGAGAGAGAGAAAGCACGAACAACTAAATGACTCACTTCGGGCATCGAATTTTCGATCGAACAAGGAACGTTTGCCAAAACGAGTACCGGCCGTTTTTGTATTCCATCCGTTTTTGTATTGCCGGAAGGGTCCAAATCGGTCATCATGCATCCAAACTGAGGAATGTCCATTGGTTGTCGGACCGATACCACGAGACTTGGACGAACGACCGAACCAGTCCGCTTTGTTACCTCGATATGGTCTCGGATACCGACCGTTGGTGGTGACCATGGTGGTGGTAGTGGCAGTTGTCATTGCAGGACTATGGAAAGTCCAATCTAAGTCACCGACGAATTATTCCGGGAGCCATGAATAGGGTAAACAGAAAGACATTGATTGATACCATTTCTGAGAGGTAAAAGATTTAGTTCAAGCGCATAGGAAGGAGACCTTATGGTTTAAATCGTGTGAAAAGAGAATGGTGCAATCACAATGGACCATGGGGGATTCCGGTACAAGCGATCGAACACAGTATTTATAAACTTACGTGGGAAATAATCTGTAAACTGAATACAGAATTTCCGTTCATTTAATTAGGCCCAATGGAAGAACTATTGATTGAAAATCAGAACGCTTTTGATGTTTATCGGAAGTGAATGGCCCCGAAATTCGAGGACTTTTCAAAACCAGCCCCCGATAAATCATTGATGAAAACATTGTGTTAAGAGTTTCAGTGTGGGATTATTAATTGATTACCATGCCAAAACTGCACCAAGCTAAATCATTTGAAACATTCGATGATCAACTGATTTCTACTCAGTAGATGTATCAGCCCGGTGGATATGTCTTCGGTCTAGAAGTGAAGAAAAGACCTAGCGTCCAACGTCGGTAGCATAAAAACTTCAGCCGAAACATATTGCAGTTATTAAGAAACACCTTGCGAAAGGTGATTGAAGAACGAGTTCAGGTGTGAGAATAATAATTATAATAATAATAAATATTTTTTTAACTTCCTGTTTTGTTGATTGATGACAAAAGAGTACAATGAACTTTCAGGCAGAAGTCCACGGAAATACAAAGGCTCTCTGGGGAAAATTAAAAGATGGGCGACGGTGACGGGGTTCGAACTCAGGACCACCAGGTGGTTATTTTAGTGGCATTACAAATTGACGACTGCAACCGCCACGATTTGCACTCGGATCAGTTGCTAGAACTAAACATAGTGCTTTATATCGAAACCGATAACCCGCCAACATTAGTATCTTTCAAGCGTAAGCTTGATGATGCTCTGGCAAACATTATGTTTCCAGACCCAACTATATAATATATTCTGCTGTGCTAGTCAATAGCATGCCATTACGCGTTTACGTACGTGGACTAACTGTGATCTTGTGAATCGTGTTCCGAACCGAAGTGTAAACATACCATGAGATTTGATAAGTCTTAGTAAGTTTTTTTCCCATAATAAAAAGTTGAATTTGGATCAGGATGCAACGACTCATCGAGACAAATCGTTGATGGACTGACAGTAAATGAAAGCCCATGTCTATTCGTATTTGTGCTGAGGCGTTGGCAAGTTAAACAAGCTTTCAGTCAAAACGAAACCTGCGTTACAATACTAGTAAAAAACGGTTAAAAGAGAGGAACATTGAGCGTGCAAAAATGTGAATGAACCGATTAACGCATTAGAATACACACTCGCCTTGTCAGTCAGTGTCCGGGGAAAAGATAGGGTACCAAGTAGCTCTCTGTAGACAGATATGCGATATGGGAAAATAGTGTATTTGGAACGGGTTTCGGGTGGGATTTATTTGCACATAGGTTCATGTGTAGATGGGATGTTATCAAATGCTATCAATATGCTCATCACAGACGTTGTTTAAAGGATCGGACAACGAAACTAGAGAACACAGTTGATCTCTATGAGGCGATGCCTTAGCATTGTAAAGTCGGCGTTCAACCAACCAGGGAAACTAGCAGAGGAGCAATAAAAGGGTATAGGGATGATACATTGCTGCACAAAAGCTCCTATCATCGACTTATCAGAACAGAAGTGATGCAATTCTACCTAAAAGGAGAGAGAACTTCCAACTTGCAAGTATCAGTTTGGGTATGTAAAGATCAGCGAAAGTTACTTGCAAGAATGACACCTAAGTACTTCGCATGGTTGACCCTTTTCATTAGCCTTCCCTGGAGGATAATGGGCAAAGGTTCAAAGTGAAAACACATTCAAAGTTTTTTTGTGGATTAAGATTAAGATAAGATGAAGTGGAAAACGAAAAGAGGCAGGATAAGTTTGCGTGACATGATGCCGGTTTCGATGGACTATATAAGGAAACATAAATGAGGATGTCCTCAGCATACTTGAAATGTCGTACAGGGGCAGTAATAGGTAAGTCACTGATGTAAATCGTCGAAGGATAAGGTGAAAAAACAGCACCAAGGCGTAAACTCGAACCACTGAATGAAGCCCTTGAGTGTCTCCTGTCTAATCAGATATACTGATATCATTGTGAAAAGTGATCTCCAAACCATTCAAGAAGAGAAGAGGGGCAAATAAAAAACTGCAGCTTGTTAAGTAAAGCATAAAAAGTAACTAAATCAAAACCTGAAGAATAATCAAGAAAAGCACAGTACACCTATTTGGTTTTGTCGCTTAGAGACTAGCAAACAAAGTGAACTGGGGAAGTAACTGCATACAGTGTTTGTGTGATCATGTTTGCATGCAAACTGATGAACGCCATCGATTACGGTAAATCAATTAGTAGGTCACGGATACAGTCTCTAGGTTGCAACTAAAGTGATTGACTATGAATGAATTAGCAGTACCCCACGGTATAAAGGGTGGAGGACAATTAGTGATGTACATAAAAGTCCACAGCACCCACACGCGTTGTGGTAGCACAGTGGTTTAGTCGCTGTCATCAAGGCGTGTTGAACCCTATGGTCCGAGGTTCGAGCCCCGCCATCGGCACACAACTTTCGTGGGGGCTTCGCTGTCGCCTGGTTGAATACCACACCTAACCAAGCGGGGTCTTATGTGGTTCTTCACTCCAAGTCCCGGGGGTTAAGCTACCGATTCCACCCCTGGACAGTAGGTCCTAGTGACTACGAGGTTCGCCCCGTCTGCTGTTGATCACACTAGGATGGGTTTTCAGTTTCAGTTTGAACAACCATTAACCATGCACTTTCGTGCGCCGGTTTTGATTGCTGTCTTTTGGCTGCCCATTGGGATGAAGAATAGGAGAAGAAAGGAAAGTTGAAAGTGGATTCGAAAAGAAAATGGAGAAGTTCAGTGGTCTAAGGTTGAAAAGAAATTGAGGGTATTAAAAATAAAAAGGAAGCCTCATGAGGTATGTAAATGTGTTCCTCTAGTAAGACGGGGCGCTTGGCTGGAGACTTTGGCGAACAAAGTGTGCAGACTTTCGTACACGGACAAAGATGGACCGCGAATCCAGTTCCGCACCATTGGCTTTGTTCCGTCACACTGTTGGTCCGGCTGTTCAGCGCGTCATAAATGGATTCACGTACAATCCGGGCGAGGACACCGTGCAAATTGTTAGGCGGCGATGGCAAAGATGCAGCGGTACTGTCTTGGCGAATACAACGAAACTAATGAACGATTT